AGAAAGTTGGTGGGTGAGGGAACTGATGGATAAATAAATAGGCAAAAAAAATAACGAATGCGTGAAAGAGAGAGTGAGTGAGTGGGTAAGTTTAGAGGTTGAGTGACTGGGTGAGTAAACCAGTGAGCGGGTGAATAGGTAACTGAATGAGTGAGAAAGTGAGTCAGAATAATGATGGATAAATCAGTGACTAAATAAATTATGTGATGAGTAAATAGGTGAGTCAGGGGAAGGGTGAGCACGTAATGGATGAATGAATGAATAAACGAGAGAAAGAAATTTAATGAATGAGCAGGTAAGTGGATGAATGAGTGAGTAAGTGAGTAACCTAACGGATATGTGAGTGAATGAGAAAGATATCTGAGAATATTAATTAATCGTTCGTAGATATTGAAGTAATATTTTATCTGTCTGATTCTAGCTCTTTATGCTAATTTTATCTTCAACTCATTATGGTCTTTTTTAGATGTTAGATGAAGTTATTTCTTTATCTTTACCTACATATTTTTCCTGTTGCACATGTCCTCCTCTTCCTCTTCTTCCTCCTACTTCTCCATCTCCTCCTCCTTCTCTTCTTCCTCCTCCTCCTCCTCTTCCATTTCCTCCTCCTCCTTCTTTTCTTCCTCCTCCTCCTCCTGTTTCTCCTCCTCTTCCTCCTTCTCCTCCTTCTCCTCCTCCTCCTCCTCCATTTCCTCCTCCTCCACCTCCTCCTTCTTCTCCTCTTCCTCCTCTTCCTTTTCTTCCTCCTACTTCTCCATCCCCTCCTCCTCCTTCTCTTCTTCCTCCTCCTCCTCCTGTTTCTCCTCCTCTTCCTCCTTTTCCTCCTTCTCCTCCTCATCCTCATCCTCCTGCTCCACCACCTCCTCCTTCTCCTCCTCTTCCTCCTCTTCCTCTTCTTCCTCCTACTTCTCCATCTCCTCCTCCTCCTCCTTCTCTTCTTCTTCCTCCTCCTTTTTCTCCTTCATTTCCTCCTCCTCCTCTTTCTCCTCCTCCTCCTCCTCCTTTTCCTCTCCTTCTCCTCCTTTTCCTCCCTTTCCTCCTTCATCTCCTCCTCCTCCTTCTCCTCCTCCTCCTCCTTTTCCTCCCTTTCCTCCTTCATCTCCTCCTCCTCCTTCTCCTCCTCCTCCTCCTCCTCCTCCTCCTCCTTTTCCTCCCTTTCCTCCTTCATCTCCTCCTCCTCCTCCTCCTCCTCCTCCTCCTCCTCCTCTTACTCCAACGCCTCCCTTTCTTCTCCTTTTGTACCTTCTTCTCTCCTCTCCTCCTCTTTTTCCACGGCTTCTATATTTTTTGCTCGTTTTCCTTCTCTACTTCTTCACTGTCACTCTTCACTTCTTCACTCTTTCACCTTCTTCCTCTTCTTCTTTATCGTTTCTCCTTCACTTATTCTATCGTCCCCTCCCTTTTCTTCTTCTCTTCTCCTCTCTTCGCCCACTTTTCCTCCTCTTTTCTATTTTCATCTCCGTCCTCTCTTCTAATTCTTTTTTCGTAATTTCGATCCTCCTCTTCCTCCGCCCCTTTTCTTTCTCTCTTTTTCTCTTCTTCTCCTCTCATCCTCTCTTCCTCCTCTGTCTCTTCCTTTCTACCTTTCTCCTCCCCCTCCCTTTCCTCACCTCTTCCACTTCCTCCACCTCCTTCCATTCCTCCTATTCTTGCTCTTTTCCTTTACTTCCTCACTTCCTCCTCCTCTTCTCTTCCTCTCTCCCCTTTCTCATCTTTTCCTTCCTCTTCCTTTCCATCCTCCTCTTTCTCTTCTCCTTCCTCGCCTCCTCCTCTCTCTACCTCATTCTACTCTTCTCCTTCTTCTTCTTTCGCTTCCTCGTTCTCTTCCTTTCCTTGATCTTTCTTTTCATTTCGTTTCTCCCTTCTTCCCTTACCCCTCTCCTTTCTTCCACATCCTACTCCCTCATTTTCTTATTTTTTCTTATTTCCTTTCTTTACCTCCTCCTCTCCCTTCTTCCTCTTTTTTACCTCCTTCCTCACTTCCTCTTTTCTTCAACTTCCTTCTACTCCCTCTTTCTTATCTCCTTCCTCACCTCCTCCTTTCTTCCACCTCCTTTTTCGCCACTCCTTCTTCCTCTTTTTTATCTTCTTCCTCATCCCCCCTTTTTACCATCTACCTCTATTTCTCTCCTTCTTCCTGTTTCTCCCTTCTTTCCTCACCTCCTCCTTTCTCCCACATCCCTCTATTCCTCATCTTCTTCCTCTTTCTCATCTCTCGTTCCTCACCTCCTCCTTTCTCCCACATCCCTCTACTTCTCATCTTCTTCCTCATTCTCATCTCTCGTTCCTCACCTCCTCCTTTCTCCCACATCCCTCTGTTCCTCATCTTCTTCCTCTTTCTCATCTCCCGTTCCTCACCTCCTTCTTCTTCCTCCTTCCTCCTCAGATCGTGAACGACGGAGAGGACGACATCGGCTGCGACGACATAGCCGAGCAGCTCGTTCTGAACGACCCCGGACGCAACTTTAAGGTAGGGAACTGTTTTAAGATGTTACTTTAA